CTGTGGCCCACAATGCAAAGAAACCTTATGTTCAGAGTCGAAAAGCAACTGAGTAAATTTATGTTTAGAATCTAATAATATGGGATGCTTTTGTCCTAAAGGTAGATCAGAGTGTTTTAGTCTTCCGCCCACGCGTAATATATTGTCGAAATCTAAATATGCACTTAATCTATACAACTTGCTTTTTTTTTCGATCGCTCCATTTTTGCTCAAAATGTCTATTTCTTCGTGAAACGACTCTTGCTGGCTAAGTTTACTTAGCTGAATTTTAGCTAAATTCAATTCAGGTAATGTTAGATAACAAGGAAATTTATTAGTTTCATTAGAACAAAATCTTAAAATAAAAGCCATAACTCTAACCATTCTTGAAAAATTTGAAAAACGTCCAAAGGGAAACCAAGCCTTTGAATGCATACTAGAAATCAAAGAATTTATTACTTGTGGTTTTAATTCTGGCAAACTTTCTATCTTGGTAAAATGGATTTCCGGCCACTGTGATCTATCTAAATCCAACCAAGCAGGTCCACAGAAACAAGACTTACATTTCATCAACTGGCTGGGGTATAGTCCCCTAGAAACATGATCAGCCGGGTTGTCCTGAGTTGGAACGTATTTCCATTCTGTTTCGTTGGTTAGGCTTTGGATTTCAGATACTCTATTTCCAACAAAAGTTTTCAACAAACTAGGACTTGTTCGAATCCATGCTAGAGTAATTGTTGAATCCGACCAAAAAACGCGACTTTCAAATTTAATAGCTAGGGATTTATCAACTTTTTCAGCAAGGCGTGACAGTAATAATGCAGCACATAACTCAAGTTTAGGTATAGTGCATAAAGACTTGATTGGAGCAACCTTGCTCTTAGCACACAAAAGTTGAGTTCGTGTTTCGCTATTCTGATTCATACTCCTCAAATAAATACAGGCTCCGTACGCTGACTGAGACGCATCGCAGAAACCATGTAGTTCAATTTTATTGAAATCTTTACAAATTACATGCCTAGGTACTGGAAAATTATTTATGAGAGGAAGTTCGTTTTTTAGTTTTATCCAAATGCTTAAAAGATGATCTGGCAGCCGTGCATCCCACGAAATTCTTTCTATCCACAATTTTTGCAGCAACATCTTTGCTAATATAGTAGTAGGAGCAAGAATTCCAAGAGGATCAAACACTTTTGCAATTATAGATAAAACAATTCGTTTTGTGAAAAAAATCGTATCTGGCAAATTGATATTGTAGATTAAAGAATCTGATTTTGAACACCAAGTTAGACCTAAAGTTTTAGGGACTTTTTCTGGAGCAAATTCTAGAATTTTATCATTTGAATAAGAATCTGAAATAGTTTTAAGAACTCGTTCATCATTTGAACGCCATTTTCTGAGATCGAAACAGCCGCTCTGGAAAACATGTGAAATATTTTGACATATTACTTGTGCTATCTCAATACTAGGAGCTCCTGATAGCAGATCATCGACATACATGTCTCGTTTAATAATTCGAGCTATTTCAGGATCAGAGCACTCATTTGCTAACTCAAAATGGCACCTTATTGCCAAGAAACTACTAGCAGTCTGCCCATAAGTAACAGTGTTAAGAACATATGGCTTTAAATCTTCATTTGAATTTTCTCGCCAAAATATTTTTTGTAGTTGTCGCTGCTCTGGAGCAATAAGCACTGCCCTATACATTTTGGCAACATCAGATGAAAATACATAAGCATGACAGCGAAATCGTAAGACGATACCTAGTAAATCGTCTTGTAAAACTGGACCTTTATGCTGAATGTTATTTAGGGATAAATCATTGCTGGTCGATGCTGAACAATTAAACACTACTCGTAATTTAGTTGTGACGCTTTCTTCTCGCAAGACCCCGTGATGGCTAGCAAAATATTCAACTACTGGTTCAGGATATCTGTTATCTACAGACATATGTCCTAAGTCCTGATACTCGCGCATGAATTTAACATATAAATCACGTAAATACTCGTTCTTGCTTAAGCGATGTTCTAATGAATAGAAAGATTTTTCTGCATTCGACCTCGATTGACCTAGACATTCAGGAGATTCCTTTAATGGCATAGTTACTATGAAACGACCTTCTTGATCTCGAGTGGTTGTTTTGGTGAAATTCTCCTCACAAAAAATTTCTTCTTTAGAGTGCGGCTTGGTTACATTGACTTCCTCAAGCTCCCAAAACTTAGACAAAATATCATTCAAATTGACCGACTCTAAAGTACTTAAATGGCAAAAAGATTGTTTTTTATTTTTATTTTTATGGTTTAACATACCCATAGCACCTGACACGACCCAGCCTAACTTTGTTTCCCGTATAGTAGGACCATGCTTGCTGCAGGAGATCTGACCCGAACCTATCAGAGTCCAAAATAGTTCAGCACCCACCAGCAAATCTACTTCTTTAGGTTTATAAAACTTGGGATCAGCTAGAAAAATATCAAGAGGAATTTTTAAAGAAGATATGTCAACCTCTACACTAGGTAATGAACTTGTAAACTCGTTTATTACTAGACATGACAATTTGGCTTTGAAATTACTATACAAAGATTGTATTTCTACATTGCACCTTTCAGTTATGGGAATAGTCTTGTTTGATATACCTGAAACCAATATATCAACCTTTTGTTTATCAACCCCTAAATAATTGCAAAGTTTTGTAGTTATGTAACAACTCTGAGAGGCTGAATCCAACAAGACTCTAGCATTATAGACTTGACCACTTCTGGATGTAATTTTTACTAACGCTGTTGATAAAAATATGTGACCTGACCCGGTACCTATGATACCACTAGTACAATTTATATTAAGCTTTTGTGTGTCAGATTTACTAGTCTCTTGATTTTTATCGAGCGTTTTTACTTTGTCTGCGTGTAGCAGAGTATTGTGCCACGCTTTGCATTTCTTGCATGGCCCTAATTTGCACTGACGAGCATTTATGACCCCATCTTAGACAATTTACGCATAAACTAGACTTTCTGACAAAGTCTAACCTTTGTTCTATGCCTAAATTAGCGAATTCGGGACATGAATAAATAGAATGCTCTTTTTTGCAATAATTGCAAGAATAGGTACTTGCAACCAAAGATCTACTAGTACTTTGATTAGAAACTGGTTTTTTATTATAATCGCGACTATACTCAAACTTTCCTTGATTTTTATACTCGATAGTTTCAAGTAGGTCGGCCCTACCCTTAAGAAAAGTTTTTAAATCTTGAAGTACCGGCAATTTGGTTAGCCTTATGTTATAATTTTCCCATTCACTAATCGTCTTATTATCTAATTTAGAAACAATTAGGAAAATTATAAGAGTATCCCAATTTGTCGTACTTTGGTTAAGCTGTTCCAATGCTCTCAAATTTTTGGACATATCATCGATTAACTTGCGAATTTTATCAGACGATTCTTTTTGGATTGCTTCTAAACCAAACAAAGCTTTTACGTGATTGTGTACTAGCAATTTATTGTTATTGAACCGTTCACATAAAGTGTCCCATGCAACACTGTAACTAGAACTAGAGAACTCGACAGACTTTATTACCAACGCAGCACTACCCTCAAGCGAGGCCCTTAAATAGTGAAATTTTTGCAATGTAATGGTTGGTAACTTGACTGCATTTAAAATGTTTTGTTGTGGACCTGATTTTGAGGCAACAGTAGAGTAAGAATGAACTGAATCGATATCATTATTTTTTTGGTTCTTTTCTTCATAATTTTCTCTCAACTCTTTACCCTTAGCAATCCAATTATAAAATGAATCTTCAATTTTATAGCGCTCGTCGAATTGCTTTTCTACTGAAACTGCATCTACTTTTGCCTCAATTTCAGTCTGAATTTCCTGAAAATCAGAAAGTGCTCTTTCTACCCTTGCTATCCTATCTTGTAATTGAAGAAATTCTGACTTTCCTAATTCTGGTTTAACTGTGAGAGTTTCAACAAATTTTATAAAGTTAGTGAGTACAGCCTTTACTGAACCTCGTTTTCTTGTGAGAGTATCAATTTCTGTCATTTCTATATTGATTGGAGTGGACTATTATCGTGAAAAACTTGTATGAAAAGCCCGCCAATGAATTGACACAAATAGAGGACAAATACTCGTTTTAAATTCTAGACAAGATTATGACAATTTATGACGTTTGGGTAGAAGGTGAATCTTCGAAATATTGTTCTAACATGGAACGACTCACCCGGTTCTTGAAGTTATTTCTTTCTTGTTCCACAACAATTATTGCATAACAGTACTACACACGTTTTCTCTCCACTTATCGTTTTTTCTGGTAAAACTGGATCTCGGGTCGACTGGACCAAATGTTTTTGACTGTACTAGGAGGACTGTAAATTTTATTTAAAAACTGGGCATGATTTAGAGAAAAGTGCAATAAAATGGAAACAATGATTATAATGGTTGCTGAAAGTTACAATAAAGATTAATAATAAGATTTTACTAGACAAACTGATCAAATTCTGTAACTTTTTGATTAATTAATTGATTGATTATCACATTCAAAAATAATTGTCACTGGTCTTCATCAATATTCTTTTTTTTTTTTACCTGCACATGGCTAACCACTATTAACCACTTATAACAAAATTATAGAATCTTCATTTAGCTTCGTCGGGCGTTAACACCCCCTCTAAATGTTTGGTTGCCCCCTCTGGAATCAAAACCTGGCTACAGGCCTGCCCTGTATACAGGATATCATCTAAAAAACGGCCACTAAAATCAAAAATCGACGTATCCCAGGCTTTTTGAAAAATATCATTCCTGTATTACGATCCTTTATTTTTACAAGTTTTCAAAATAGTAACATTTCAGTTGAGCGGCGTTATATCAGCACGAATATATCTTATTTCTATTATATCCGGTATGGTCTAGTGGCTAGGATACCTGGCTCTCACCCAGGAGGCTCGGGTTCGATTCCCGGTACCGGAATAATTTTTTTAATTCTTTTTTTAAATATTTCTAATTTTTTATTTATTTATTCCAGACAACCATAAAAGTATTCGCCAAGTGCCTAAGACCGGACATAGAATACAAAACTCTTAGTATAACTTTTCAAACTACCTGTAAGGAAGTTGTGGCCACTTTGCTGGGAAAATACAAAATGAAACATCGAGATCCGAAGTTGTTTTACTTAAGTATGGAAGTTACAGTGCGAAAGGCTGGAGTTAGGACCCATTTGGCTTTGGACGACGAAGCTAGACCTGCAGTTTTACAGAGCTGTCATCCAAAAGGCGACTCAAAGTAAGTAGACTTTCATTTCAACTTTAAAATCATTTGTCACACAATAACATTATACCACAGAATATATAGCTAAAACTGCGGTTTAGCTATATATTCTGTGCTTATACCTACTGTAACCTACCTACTCACTTTTCAATAAGCTTGTACTGACTCAACTTATCTGGAGTACAAACAAAACTGTATATGCCTAAGCTAAGTAGGTACCTACCTGAGCTTATAGACTTTTTTCTGTTTTGGTAGTGGTAGGTATGAGGAATTGAGGTCATATAGGTATTATTATTAGGGTATCTTTATTCGATCACTAGGCTGGTCATTACCAGCGTTTCTCTGTAGCTTGTCAGCCTAGTCCTCTTGTTTTCGTTGGAGTTCTTCAATAACATAAAACATTTCAAACTCAAACAGCGGAGACAACAAACTTTTGGAAAAAGTGGGTACTATAATTCCGACTACACATGATGGTAGAAAGCTTGATATTTATATGGATAGGGTAGTTTGATGGTATGTCCAGTGGCTATCATCCGTTTCTTAGATTCTTTCTTCTTCTTTATTCCTCATGTACTTTCACTGTTAATCGTTTGTCTTCTAATTTCAATGTTCTTGATTTTTATTATCACATACCTACCTAGAGAAAAAGTTAAACAGTCAACAATCAGAAACGTTTTTCAAAAAGTCCAAAAACGTCTTTGTACTCACTTGAAATCTACCTACAGACACTAATAATATATGTATAACTTTATGCAATGTCTGCTATAAAATTATCTACCACAGGTAATAATATCTTCCTTATGCTTCCCAATCAATAAAGAGAAGAGTTTTAGGAACTTGCCTCTCTCTCCTCGTAACAGTAACGAGATATAGAATAAACACTGTATTTATTTTTACAGATTCTCCCTTCAAACTCGCCGAGGTGGTCTGGTGAAAGTCCACGATTCAGTTCTCAATAGCAACTCACAATACAAATCTCTTCTCATTAGTGCCAGAACTACTGTAGACGAACTGATAGCTCTACTGCTCAATTGTTACAACAGCAAAGAGCGCGTAGAGCAGTTTTCCTTGTACGAAGTGAATCCTGAGAGAGAGCAACAAAGAAAATTGCATCCGGACGATAGGCCCTTGCAAGTACAACAGACCTGGTTACCTTCGCACGAGTGCCACTTTTTAATCAGGAAAAACCCTGATTATTTACCTTTATCCAGGAGGAAGGTAATTTTTCAACTATTTTTGTTTGATCAATAATACCTAATTATTTTTTCTACATTAGATATTCTGGATGTCAGATTTGCCTCCTTTACCAGCTTCAAGACTGTTCAAAAGTGCGACTCCCACAACGCCAACTGGAAGTCATTTAACAAAATCTTCGACGTCACTAGTTCCTTTCAAAAAACCCGATGAAAATTCCAAGTTCAAGCCCAAAGAAACTGTACATTTAAGCAGTACTGAACTGAAAGTTTTCCAAAATAATAGCGCAAGGAAAGGTTGTAGTGGAGGTCCTTCTTCATATGCTGACTATGAAAATTATTTTTATATTTAAGCAACACTTTATATAATAGTTTGTAGGTATATAATTATTGTAAATAGTTTTTTGTGTGACGTCTAGTTTTTTTTAATTGTGATATTCATTTAGGCTTAAGTTGCAACCAAAGAAAATTGAAATGCAGTATATATATTTTGCCATATTTATACTGCATTAAAAATTAGTTTTAGTTAAATTGAATTTATGCTTCTTGTGTTCTTGCCAATAATTATAGCTGTTAGGTACTGTATAGATATTTATAGGATTGAAATAGTATAAAGTTATTATCCAAAGTTCTTATAGTTATGAATGCATAAGATGAATGAAAATGACTTGTGTCTAAAGTTGTAGTGTTCAAATATTATTAGATAAGTATACCTATACCAACCTACCAAATACATAAAATGACAATTTTTTTTTATCGTTTGATTGTCTTGTGCAATGTGAGAGTGTTTTTTATATTAATAATTGTTTTTAATCTTCTTCTTTGTACCTTATTTTGTATGTTATAGATGTCAAACACCAAAGATTAAGTGTTTAAAACGGTACCTAATAATAAATACCTTTTTTTTAAGTAAATTTGTGGTTTAATTTAAATAAAATTATACAAAGATTCAATAAAGAAAAAATGGAAAGACAGGGAACTAAGTAGGTAGATACGACGTGATAATATTCAATATTGAAAGCAACAAATTTCTTAAGGAAAAATCAACACAATTAGGTATTCAGACGCCAAGTCTGGGCCTATACATATATAGAAACCAGAGATGTGAACTTGGGGAAGCTATTCCTCAACACAAAACAATTTATAATACAGAGTGTCTCACGACGTTTTACCCAGCTGATAACTTCGGAACGCAATCCAATATAATTGAAATTTTGAGGATCTAGGTAATTTTTTGTGCCGCTTCTACATGTGTCATCCAATTTCACCACTTCGCTGCAGTTTTGGTCAAGTGACGGCAACTTTAAAATCCTAAATGTAACTTCTAGTAGATATATTATGGCATTTTTCGTTAGAAAATTACGATATCAGCAATGCCATATTTCTTGAGGCATTGTTAAAGAAAATTATAAAAAGATTACAATGTGAAATAAACAATGACGAGTCCCGAAGTTATTACCTGTATAAAACCTCGTGGGATGTGATGAATTCTCAATTAAATAATAACATGTTCATAATTACTAATTCCGTTTATCAAACCACAACTCGTTCTAAACTCACATCCCAGTCCCTTCTCCCCAGGCCCAGGACACTGCCTTCTGTCAACTCTATTCTAAACCTAATCTACTTATAGACATCTCCTTTATTTTCTGTTTTTTTATGTTTTTTTTTTTTAATTTTTTTTTATTTTTATTTTTTGTTTGTTTTATTATTATTATTATTTTTTTTATTTTATCCTAATTATAAGTGTATTAGATTTGTAAACACTTGCAAAAATTGTGAAAATTCTAATTAACATGTTCTGACTGAGGCTTACGAATGAGTCTACCGTCTACCAGACCTTCAGAGAATAGTAGCATCATTTTCTAGCTTGAATGAAGGGTTATAATTTATCTGACCGACCATTATCTTAATTACAGTGTGGTGACAGTGAAAAAGTCTTTTTAGGTATGACTGCCTTAGTTCCAACATCCTCCAGAAACTGAAATTCAATTTGGAAGCCCCAGAGGCGCGCACTTTTTTTTGGACTGACCCAAACTAACCTAAATTTTGATCTAAAAGTTGTAAAAAAAACACGCCTCTGAAAGTTTTTTCACTTATTCTCAATTCAAACGTGGGCATTTACCATTTCTACAAAATAATAAATGAAGCACGGGCGGAGTACGAGAAATTCCTTTGGTGTTCGGCGTTTTACTTATGAAGCACTTATAAGGCACGATACAAATCAAATAGGCATCAAACTTATTTTAAAAAAAGTGTGCAGTTCACACCCAGTAGAAGTGAAACCTTCATCGAACTGCATGCATTACACACATACTAACATACACAATGGCGTCCCCCCCCCCCCCGCCAAAAGACTTGAGAAAGAACGCAAAAAAAATAAATATAGTTTAAAAAAACTAAAAAACACGCTTTTATAGTAAATTGAACTAAAAAGTAAAAAATAATTTTTAATATAAACAGAAAATATTAATGAACAAAAAATATTAGAATTATTGAGAAAAAAGCGTGGGGTGCTTTGTTCCACATTTCTCATACATTGAACACCCCACGCTTTTTTGACAATAATTCTAATATTTTTTGTTCATTAACTCTTTCAGGAACAGTGGTACATAAATTATACCCGAACAAATATGACTCTAGTTGAGCGGTGGTCCAGAGAAGGTACCACTTATTCAAATGCAAGTAACTTATTGTGCGGTGGTTTAAATTGTCGACCAACAACGCCTAAGCATTCCCACGCGCATCTCTAACGTGAATTTAGTATAGTTAAATACCCGGGTATATACAAGCTAACACGCATTTGAGGTTATAGATTCGCGCGGCAAATACAATTTTAACGGTTTTTTATTGTGTACAAAGAAGTAAGTCGCAAAGGTAAGCACAAATTTATTATTTATTACCATTGATAGCTTAGATGTACTGGCAGAGGTATACTTGACATTATTATCTTCGTAAAAGTGTTGATTTTTATTTTTTGTGTCCAGGTTTTTTGTATATGTCGTGGTATGGTAATTGTACCACCGCCTCATAACACAAAAAATATTGAATCAGTTGCCATACTAAAAAAAATAAATATCTTCAGATAATATGGAAGACCTACTATTTAGATTACACGGAATGACATACAGGGAGCCAAAGGAGGAATTTGAAGATGTAGGTATTCCATCTGATCCAGAATTAATCGTTGATAACTCCGAGAATGAAGCAGACGAAACTGAGAATGACATGATTCTAATGGAACCCGAACCAAACAGCGACTCAGAAGATGATCTACCTCTTCCAGTTTTAAGATCCAAATTGAAGCCATTGTCACCTCTCCCCAAAGTCGTGATTGGTCAAGGCTTTCGTGTCCCCAGAAACCAGCTGATTTTATTGACGACCAAATACTTACTATCGCAATAAAAAAAATCATTTGTTTCTCCAGACATACGCACAAGTGAAAGTGGACATCAACCAAAAAGGAACACATGGATGTCTATTCTCGAAACCGGGGAGCAGCGTTCTCATGAGAAGGATTGCTCTGTCTTTGTCAGTGTTATGAAAATATGAATATTGGCGACAGAGACAGAATTTTCGCTCTCAGAAGCCCGATCCTCGGGCCAGGGAGAAGAGCTCCCCGATAGAACGAGTGTTTTGTCTTTGTCAACGTAATCGAAAAGTAAATGAGAATGATAAAGACGAAAAATTTGTTCTCTCGAGGAGCTCTACTCCCTGGCTCGAGGATCGGTCCGTAGGAGAACGCTGCTTCCCTTTTTCGAGAATAAGGACCCAGGCGTCGCTGTGCGCTTTGTAACACCTCAAAAAAACAAATTAGGACCGACAGGGCATGTTCCATATGCGATGTACTTCTTTGCCTCGGAAAAAACAAAACATGTCTTCAAAATTACCACCTACCAAATAATTAAAAACATTTCGTTCTTCTTGGTTTGTGCGCAGTGGTACAAAAATTGAACCACATATTTTTTTACAAAAATTTGGAATTTTTTGATGTTTTTTTGAGTTTTTATATTTTTAGGACTCGTATTTTATTCATTGTATACCAGAAAGTACAAATCAACGGTTTTTAAGTGGGTGCCCGTCTAGGACTTTTTTTTGCATAAATATCCTGCCCCTGAAAGAGTTAATATTTTGCTTATATTAAAAATTATTTTTCACTTTTTAGTTCAAGCTATAAAAGCGTGTTTTTTAGTTTTTTTAAACTATATTTATTTTTCACTTTTTAGTTCGATGTATGTATTATAAAAGGGCAGCCCCAGAGATTTCCAGACTTTTCCAGACATTATCCAGACTTATTCAGAGCTTTCCAGAGTTTTCCAGATTTCATCCAGATTTATCCAGACTTGTACAGACTAATCCGGATTCTGGAAAATGATCCCCAGGTCTTTTGGGATCTCTTCCAGAATTTTTCCGACCCTTTCAAGAAATTTCCAGGCCTTTTCCAGACGTTTTCAGAGATTTCCAGACATTATCTAGACTTATCCAGATCTTTCCAGAGTTTTCCAGACTTCATCCAGACTTTATCCAGACTTGTTCAGACTGATCCGATTCTGGAAAATGACGCCGAGGTCTTTTAGGACCTTTTTCAGAATTTTTCCAACCCTTTCCAGAAATTTACAAGTCTTTTCAAGACGTTTCAAGAGATTTCCAGACTTTCCCAGACAATATCCAGACTTATCTAGAGTTTTCCAGAGTTTTACAGACTTTATCCAGATTTATCCAGACCTTATTCAGACTTGTACAGGGTATTTGATTATATTTGGCACCATACCTACAGCCTTTACTATTTAAGATAGAAAAAAATTGTAAATATAAAACGACAGTTTTTTTCTATATTTTCTTTTAACATTATCAGAAAAAACAAATTCGCATCGGAAAATGGAGAAACGTAGACAACTTCGACTTTTTTAAATGGAACACCCTGTATATTTTGCGATAAAATGAAAGACCTTTTCTTCCTGATAACAAATATATATATGTTGATCATATTTGCATGAGCCATTTTTGACCTATCTCAGCTTAAATTATAACTAAATTGCAAAGAAATTTTATAAAGATAGAGATCCTTATGGAACTTCTCTGCAAATTCTTTATAATTTAACCTGAGATATGTCAAAAATGGCTCATGCAAATGTGATCAACATATATATATTTGTAATCAGGAAGAAAAGGTCTTTCATTTTAACGCTAAATATACAGGGTGTTCCATTTAAAAAAGTCGAAGTTGTCTACGTTTCTCCATTTCCGATGCGATTTTGTTTTTTCTGATAATGTTAAAAGAAAATATAGAAAAAAACTGTCAAGTTTTGTATTTACAATTTTTTTCTATCTTAAATAGTAAAATCATCAATACCTCCCGCTTATCTTTCCATTTGGACACATACACTTTGCCCTTTCGCAACCATGCCTGTAGGTATGGTGCCAAATATAATCAAATACCCTGTACAGACTGATCCGGATTCTGGAAAATGATCGTCAGGTCTTTTGGGACCTTTTCCAGAATTTTTCCGACCCTTTCAAGAAATTTCCAGGCCTTTTCCAGACGTTTCCAGAGATTTCCAGACATTATCCAAACTTATCCAGATCTTTCCAGAGTTTTCCAGACTTCATCCAGATTAATCCAGACTTTATCCAGACTTCTTCAGACTGATCCGGATTCTGGAAAATGATCTCGAGGTCTTTTGGGACCTTTTTCAGATTTTTCCAACCCTTTCCAGAAATTTCCAAGTCTTTTCCAGACGTTTCAAGAGATTTCCAGACTTTTCCAGACAATATTCAGACTTATCCAGAGTTTTCCAGAGTTTTACAGACTTTATTCAGATTTATCCAGACCTTATCCAGACTTGTACAGACTGATCCGGATTCTGGAAAATGATCCCCAGGTCTTTTGGGACCTTTTTCAGAATTTTTCCAACCCTTTCCAGAAATTTCCAAGCCTTTTCCAGACGTTTCCAGACTTTTCCAGACAATATCCAGACTTATCCAGAGTTTTCCAGAGTTTTACAGACTTTATCCAGACCTTATCCAGACTTGTCCACACTGATCCGGATTCTGGGAAATGATCCCCAGATCTTTTGGGACCTTTGGCAGAATTTTTCCGACCGTTTCCAGAAATTTCCAGGCTCTTTTCAGACTTTTCCAGAGATTTCCAGACTTCATCCAGTTTTATCCAGACATTTTCCAGACTTGTTCCAGCTCACTTTGCTTGTTCCAGGTTCTTGTTGTGTGTTGTGTGTTAATTAAATTGCCGCAAAAACTAATCCGGGCCGTTCGATCAGGTGGCCCCGTTTATACGTATAAAAACAGCTGGTTACTGGGAGTGCGGCGTGAGCTTCTCCAACGTAATTGCCGTGTTGCAGCGGGGCCGTTGTGAAATGGGCTCGGACGGATAGTCCAGCGGGATTAGTTTAGGCAGTCGCTTAAATTATTGTCTAGGAAATTTAGGAATAATAACGACAGAAATTTTTTTCCGTTGGGATCAAATTATAAAATGATAAGTAATTTGATCTGACGATTGTAATAACAATTGAACTAAAAAAAAAATATATTTTAAAAGGACCGACATATTTTGCGCCAGTGCCACGGCCCCTTGGCCCCTTAGGGCCAGCCGCCACTGGTATTTTGTATGATCTCAGATTTTCGCTCTCACTGACAATTTTAGCTGGTGTCATTTTGTGAATATTATCGTTAACATATACAGCTTCTCCAGGAACAAATTGTGTTCTTTTATCATGGTAATATTTATATAGCTTGCCGATCCTCTAACAACTTACTTTTGAAATTACAAAACTTATTATCTATACAAAATTCATCGAATGAAGGTAAAAATGCATTTATATTTCGTCCAAATACTGACTCACTTGGAGACTTTCCTATGTCATGGTCAATTGGGGTATTTCTGTACTCCAACGACCAAATCCAAGATTTCTTGTCTAATTCTTTTGCAATGGACCAAAATAATTTGTCATTACGATGCTTGTGTTGTGGAAGTATGAA